TTTATTGTAGAGATGAGGTCTCTCTGCCCAGGCGGGTCTCGAACACACGGGCTCAGGCAATCCACTCAGCTCAGCCTCCCAAAGGCATGGGATTACAGGCTGAGCCACCGAGCCCAGCCCTGGTTCCTTTTTAATGAGAAATGACATTTAGAGATCACAATCTAGGGACTAGGAGTGTTCTTTGCTATTGGGTTGACATTGTTTTTTAAGTTTTTTCAGTGGATATAGGCAGGACATGTATATATTTAAGGGAAAACGAGTTCATCTTTTTTCAATTAAAATGTTAGGTTGTAAGATTTTTACTCCTTTAATTTTATAACTGAATTTCTTTTCTCTTATGCTTAAAATTGTGGTTCCTAACAACACTAACAAATCATTTGCTTGATTTATTCTACAATATATTTACCATATTGTAATGCAAGTCAAATTGGATCTGTAATTTTTATTACTATTTTTATGTTTTTATTAGATTAATATAGTGCTGAAGTTAACACATTTACCTCCCTTGCCAAGTTACAGTCTTGATCTTTGTGAGTTTCCAATTGATTATATATCTCAGAGATTTTATATGATGCAAGGGATTGTGATTGCAATGACAACTGTAACCAAGTATACACAAGGCGCAAGATTCTTTTGTTCAGATGAAGCATGCCCTCTTTCAAAAGGTAAATACTAAAATGTAAAGTCAAAACATGAAGCAACTTAAATTAGGAAATAGAAAAATGTAATAAAACTTGATATCTCCTAATGTTTATATAATTCCTTTGCAAAATCTTAATTGCATCTTTTCTCCTTTTCTCCCCCACCCCAAACTTAACAAGTACACCTTTATTGCTGAAGTACTTATTCTTCTCACACACTGTTTGCTCATGCTGTTTCTTCTTCATTTAATATCCTTTTTCACCCTTTCAGCTTAACATCAGTTCAGTTCTTCTGTAAGGTATCTCTTCCATTTATCCCCACCTTTCTTTTTTTTTGTTGTTTTTTGTTTTGAGTTGGGTCTCACTCTGTTGCCCAGCCTGGAGTGCAGTGGTACAATCACGGTTCACTGAGCCTCAACCTTCTGGGTTTAGGTGATCCTTCCACCCCAGCCTCCTGAGTAGGTGGGAGTACAGGCACTATGCTCAGTTAATTTTTTTTTTTTTTTTTTTGACAGAGATGAGATCTTACTATGTTGCCCAGGCTACTCTAAATTTCTGGGCTCAAACAATCCTCCCAGCTCAGCCTCCCAAAGTGCTGGGATTACAGGCATGAGCTACCACACCTGGCCATCCTCAACTTTCATAGGGTTGAATGTTCTCTTTTCTTCACTCTGAACACTCTGCGTAGGAATACTGCATGTTGAAATCATCTGTTTCTTGTTGCCACATATAGAAATTATGTTGTTTAAGTATCCATATTACCAGTGCCTTAGCACATTGCCTTTCAAGAAACATTCTTGCAATAAATGTTAATTGAGCAACTCTGAACCCAAGTGCAAAACTGAATTAATTATATTTTGAATTGGACAAATTTTAAAGACTAGAAGACGGATTGCTAAATCTGAAAGCAAATTTATTTTACCACTGTTTTCTTCCAGGATTTCACTATGTGAGAGTGCATGTGCCTGGTGCTACAGAATCTGCAACAATAAGAAATGACTTTTTGTGTAATCTATGTACATCTTCACTTCAAGAAGACAGAAAATTTAGAGTGCTTGGTGGTAAAATACATTTACACTTTGTAATTACAATTTTTAACATAGCATCTGATTTTTTAATGTCTAATTCTTTTTTGCTCTTTGCCTTAAGATAAACAGATAGTTGAAATAATTACCACAAAGGCACTTCATGCTTTTCAGAGATATTCTAACAACCAGCCATTTAGGTTTCAGTCTATTACAGTTTTCCTAAGAGGTAAGTTCTGTTTGAACTCAAAATTAATTGCTATAAAATATACTGTTGACTTGTTTATGTTGATATATCATAATGGTACTTCTGTCGCTTAAGAATTATAAGTAGCTGGGCTCGGTGGCTGAGCCTGTAATCCCGCACCTTTGGGAGGCTGAGGTGTGTGGATTGCCTGAGCCCGCGGGTTCAAGACCTGCCTGGGCAGAGAGACCTCATCTCTACAATAAATAAAAAAATCAGCCGGGCGTGGTAGCGCATGCCTGTAATTCTGGCTACTCGGAAGGCTGAGGCGGAAGGATTGCTGGAGCCCAGCAGGTCGAGGCTGCGGTGGCCGGGAGCAGCCACTGCACTCCAGTCTGGGCGACTGAGTGAGACTCCAACTCAAAAAAAAAAAAAGAATTATAAGTCTTCTGGCTGTATGTGGTGGCTCATACCTGTAATCCCAGAATTTTGAGAGGCCAAGGTAGGAGGATTGCTTGAGTTCAGGAGTTTGAGATCAGCCTAGGTAACATAGTGAGACCTCATCACTATCAAAAAAAAAAAAAAAGAAAAAAAATTAGCTGGGCATGGTGGTGTGTGCCTGTAGTCCCAGCTACTCGAGGGGCTGAGGCAAAAGGATCATCTGAGCCCAGGAGGTCAAGGCTGTGGTGAGCCGTGATCATGTCACTACACTCCAGCCTGGGTGACAGAGCAAGACCTTGTCTCAAAAAAAAAAGAAAAAAGAAGTAAAGAAGCACACCTTCTAATTCTTGAGAATTTTTTAAAGTCACATTCAGCTAATAAATCAATGATTCATTCAGTCATACAACACTCACTTCAAATGATACTAGCATCTACTATGTCCCAAGCACTGTGCTAAGACCAAGTGTCACAGTCATTTTAAGGCAGTGTGTGTGTGTGTGTGTGTGTGTGTGTGTGTGTGTGTGTGTGTGTGTGTGAAATAAATAATAAACATTGAAGTCATTGTTTAGCTCTCTGAAGCTATAAGGAAAAGAAAAAAAATGGAGATCACAATTTGATCTTCACAGAAAGGCATTAACCCTGGCTCCTCCTTGAAAATTTTTTTTTCACAGTTTTACAATCAACCAGCTTCTAACTGTTGAATGGAGGATTAAAATTTTTTGTGTGTATTTTAAAATAAACTTTGAACTTGTGCAAAGTATTGCCCAGTCTCTAGGTATGAGAGAGGAACTTAATATAATGCAAGAGGGTAGACTTTGTAGATAGACATAGATGTGAGTTTCAGTTCTGCCACTTACTAGTTATTTACCCCATGCAAGTCACTTAACCCCTCAGTTTTTTTATATATAAAGTAGAGATAAGAATATCTACCTTACAGTTTATGATTAGATAATGTGTGCACAAATACTTCATATATTATAGACAGATAATGTATGTACAAGTACCTTACATGTAGTCAGTAAAATTATCTTCTTCCCAAATAAAATTATTACTTTTAAGGTCATTTTTATTAATATTCCTTGTCATTTAATGCAAAGATGTTTCATCTTATATAGACTGATTTTCCTTTTGACTATATTATAGGAGAGTATCTAGTTGCTATGTTACATGCTTCTTGAAGTTAATTGATTGCATATAAGAATCAAAATTTATCAGCAATAAAATTGCATCCATTCACATTAATAGTATTACTCTATATGGATATCATATTAATAGTAAACAAAAATAAATACTCAACTACTGAATTGTTACTGGTTCTGGATCTTTGAACCATATGATCATGTACAAGTTTCACTTAGTGAATACACATTTTATTTTGTGCTTAATAATTTTAGATGAATCAGTGAATAAAATGAATATAGGAAATGAATATAAAATTATTGGAATTCCAGTCTGTGTAAAGACCTCACAAACTGCTGTCTGTATAGAAGCAAATAGAATAACTTTTTGTAATTCAAAAGGTAAGGAAAAAAATAAAGATCAATTAAATATTTTAAAAGGTAAGGAAAATATTAGTATCACGTATTAACAAATATTTCAATTTAAATCTTGTTCAGCAAATAAATATTGTTTGCCTATGTGCTGGGCACTCTTTTAAAGCACTAAGGATACAGTTGTTATCATGACAGTGAAGATTCTTGCTCTTAAATTGGATGGCAGACAGTCAGTAAGCATGTAAACTAATCAGTAAGACAATTTCAGATAATAAGTGCCATGAAGGAAATAAAGCAAGATACTGTTGTGGAAACTTGTTGGCAGGCAGGACTTCTTTCTTTAGTCTAAACCTTATTTTGATTTTTTTTTATAATTAGCAATGAGAAAATGTTTCAGTATACTAATTTCTAAAAGGGTTAGAAATTAGTCAAAGAATTTTTCTACTACTTTTTATTTTGTAACTAAGATAATTCTAAATAACTGTTATGGTTTGAGAAAGAGAACTCAGTATAATAGCATCCTTTTCCTCAACTAAATTCTGAATAAATCAAGACATAAAACAAAAGATAAAGGCAGATGAGGGCCAAAATGTCACTTTTATTACTGTTAATTTCCTTAAACAATTCCAATATACTTTAGCATCAAGTAAATAAAAATGGAGAGCAGACCTGTTCTTTTAACTTGGCTCACAAATATCTAAATGTAGGAAAGACTGGTTAAATCGTGAATAGAGTTGGATTTATTTTGGAATCCATAATTAACCATCTACAGACCCAAGTTGAATTTAAATGCAAGTGAATTCTAGATTCCTCTACTTATCTTGTAGAGATAAGCTTCTTCAAAGAATAAAAATGTTGAAGAAAGAAAGCACTGATAGTCTATAGGCAGTTTAGTGATATTTTAAATATTTTCTGCTGTGTTTCAAAATGTATTGACTTGGCAGCAGAATATGAATTTTATTTAAGTGGAGTTATGCTTTCTTATGCTGAACTCCAGAATTAGGCAGATTTAACCACCCAAATGTGGTAAGAGGCAGACTAAACTAATCCTCTCTTAATCTATGGGCATGAATGAGTAAAGGAGATCATTGCTCTGGGATGGCAGCCCAAGAGGAAGGAGAATGAGTTATATATGCACAGTTGTTCCTTAAAGCGACCAATCGGATAAATCACTCATTCCTTTCAGGAGATGGAGAGTGAGGGGATAGAGAAGATCTAGACTGTTATAGTATAGTAAAGTGCAGTGCTTTCAAAGTAGTAGAATATAAATCTTTCCTCTTAACAGCAACATGCAAATATTTCTCATTCTGCTTATTATCCCTCATTAAAGGTGATACTATTTCAAGCATAGTAATATAGGAGCAAATACAGGAATGAGCTCCATGATTTGGCTTTTACTCACATAGGTTTTAAAATAAAAAGCATGTAGGATTTACCTGCAACCCACAGCTAATCTATGTGAACACACAGGGTAACTTCCTTTTGTTATATTCTCTGGGATAGAAATGATAGACTAGCCTGACCTCCAATCATAATTTAATATTATAAGAATTTGAACATGGCATCATTAGAACTATACTTGATAACATTTTAAGCAAATGGAATAAAAGATCTATAATGTTTTCTTGTTTTAAAACTCTAATATGTGTGTTAATATGTATTTTCAGTTCCTTCAGGAATTAGTGACAACTTAAGATGGCTCCTCTCCTTGACTTCCAGTTCATGCTGGAAGTTTACAGCAATCCTTACCAATGTCTTTGCATCACACATTGTTCCTCCTGGGACTTACAATTTGCTCAAGCTCTGTTTGTTGATGAGTCTAGTACAGACAACTGACTGTAACAAGGAAATGAAAAATTGCCTGGATATCTTAATTATAACAAGTGATACTTTACTTGTAGACAGGTAAATATGTGACATCAATTTTTTAAAATATTAATTGGTCACAGATTTGGATAAGTCATTCTCATGAACATTATTACAAGAAGAATATTTAGATTATTATCTAAAAGAGTATAGTATTTGTCAATCTTTAATCAATAAAGTTTGAAATTTATAAAACATAAATTGATAAATGGGTTATTTGCTTTCAATATTTTGAGAGTCTAACCACTCAAAGTTTCAACCTATTTCCTCACTCAGACCTTTACAAATAAATGCAGCTTTCCCACCCTTTTGCTTCCCCCGTTGTCTAGCTCTGTATGCTGTTTTTGTACTTTGCTTTCATTTTTGAATATTCTTCCCTCTCAGGAGCCAGCAAATCATCTTATTTTTCTTCAAGATTCCATTCACATATTGATTTACTGAATCCAAATAAGACTGTCAAAAGTGCTACAATTACTGTTTTGTGGATACATCATCCTAACTTTGGAATAAACCTCAACTCAGAATTTTGTGTCTCTCCACTGGCAGTACCCTTTTCTTAAAAAGTTGCTTAAATGTTCACAAAGCTGGGAATAAACTCTTTATATTAGCATCTTGTATGCAATTCTTTTACAAAGTATAAATAACTTTAAAATAGAAAAAATAAAATTCAAATTAGCCTTACTTTAATTGATCAGATGATATTTTGCTATAATCAGCTTACCACTGGCGTGTAAAATATGATGCCAAATGCATCACTTTATTCTACTAACAGAACATGAAAGCATTTGTTTCCTCATAGCTTCACCAACTCTGGATATTATCAAACTTTAAAATGTTGCAATCTGATAGGGGAAAAGTGGTACTTTGTTTTACTTTGCACTTCTTTAATTGGAAATAATTTTAGCAGCCTTTAAAGCGGATTGAACATGTTTTATTTTTCTGTGAACCTCCTATTCTTGATCATTGTTTCTTTTCTTTTTTTTTTTGAGTTGGAGTCTCACTGTTGCCCAGACTGGAGTGCAGTGGCCGCTCCGGCCACCGCAGCCTCGACCTGCTGGGCTCTGGCGATCCTTCCGCCTCAGCCTTCCAAGTACCCGGAATTACAGGCATGCGCTACCACGCCTGGCTGATTTATTTATTTATTTATTTATTTTAGAGATGAGGTTTCACTGCCCAGGTGAGTCTCAAACCCGCGGGCTCAGGCAATCCACTCACCTCAGCCTCCCAAAGGCGCAGGATTACAGGCTGAGCCACCGAGCCCGGCTCATTGTTTATTTTCTATTAAGTTGTTTATTTATTTCTTATTGATTTGTGATGCCTGTTGGAAATTAAGACCTTTGCCTATTTTCCTGTTTGTCATTAACATTTTGACCTTTTTATGGTACTTGGGGATGTATGAGAGATTTGGTTTTTTGTTTGTTTGCTTTTAGGTAAAATTTATATATAATGAAATAATCAGATTTTATTATCATCATCATTAAAAACAATAAGTTGTTTTTACAAATACACTCTTATTAGCACCACCACAGTGAGATATAGAGCATTTCTATCGCCTCAGAAATTTACCTCATTCCCCCTTTTTTTTGTTTTTTGTTTTAGTCGAAGTCTCACTCTTTCATTTGGGCTAGAATGCAGTGGCATGTGCCCAGCTACCTCATCCTCCATCTGCTGTGCTTGGGCAATTCTTCCACCTCAGCCTTCCAAGTAGCTGGAACTACAGGTGTACACCACCATGCCCAGCTAATTTTTTAATTTATTGTAGAGACAAAGTCTTATCAAGTTGCTCAGGCTGGTCTAGAACCCCTTACTTCAGGCAATCCTCTTTCCTTTGCCTCCCAAAGTGCTGGGATTGCAGGCCATAAACCACTGTGCCCAGCCTCATTCCCTTTTCCATCAGTTTCTATCTCCACAGCTGATTTCTGTCACCACAGATTAATTTTTCTCTTCTTAACTTTCATATAATGGGATCACATGGTGTAGCCCCTCTCTTGAGGCTAGTCTCTCTCATTCAACAAAAAGTTTTTAGTGATTGATCCAGTTATGTGCATCAATAGTTCCTTTTTTCTGTTGATGGATGAGTAGTATCCCATTAAGAATGTACCACAGTTTGTTTATCCCTCCTGGTGGTGGACATTTGGGTTTTGCATGTTTTGACTATTATGAATAAAGCAGCGGCATACATTCTTGTACAAGTCTTTTTGTGGGCATGTATTTTCATTATCTTGGGTAAATACCTAGAATGGAATTGCTGAGTCATAAGGTAGATATATATTTAACAATTTTCCAAAGTGGTTGTAACTTCTTACATTCCTACCAACAGTGTAAGAGTTCCGTTTGTTTCCATTGTCACCAACATTTGATGTTGTCAGTCTTTTTCATTTCAGCTATTCCAGTGAGTATGAAATGGTGTCTCATGGTTCTAATTTTCGTTTCCCTGATGACTGCTGAGTTGAGCTCTTTTTCATGTGCTTATCAGCCACTCATATTTCTTCTTTTATTAAGTGCCTGTTCAAGTCCTTTGCTCACTTTTTAGTTGGGTTGCTCTGAATGACTGTTTTTTACGTACATATATAAAAGATATATACACACACAGCTATATATGTTTGTTCTCCTGGTCTAAAGCTTTTTAATAATTTCTTTTTCTTAAAGGTATATTTGATGAGCAGATAGACCTTCTAGTTTTGATGAAGTTCAACTTATTATTTTATTTTATGCTTAGTGTTTTCTGAGTTTTGTTTAAGAAATATTTGCCTACTCCAAGGTCATGAAGATGTTTTATGTTTTATTCTAGAAGCACTTTCGTTTCCATTTACTACTTCTTTATTTAGAGATGGAGTATTGCTCTGTTGCTCAGGCTGGTCTTGAACTCCTGGGCTCAAGCAATTCTCCCACTTCCACCTCCCAAAGTATTAGAATTACAGGCGTGAGCTACTGAGCTTCGCCAGAATTGTTATAGTTTTAGCTTTTGTATTAAGTCTGTTATCTGTCTCAATTAACTTTTCTATATTGTAGGAGGTATGAGTTAAGGTTAATGTTTTTCCTATGCATTTATCCAACTTTTCTACATCATTTGTTGAAAAAACTTTCCTTTTTCCATTAAATTGTTTTGGTACCATTGTTGACAATTACTTGAACTGAGTTGAATCTGTCTAATTGAATTGGATGTAAATCTGTTTGATCTCTCTTTTTTGATACTTTGATCTATTTGTCTATACTTATACCAATACTACACTCTTAATTGTAGCTGTGTGCTCAATCTTGAAATTAGATAATGCAACTTTATTCTCGTTTTCAAGATTTTTAAAAAATTGTTTTAGGTCTTTTGCATTTTCATAAAAAGTTTAGAATCAAGCCGGGCTCGGTGGCTCAGCCTGTAATCCCGCGCCTTTGGGAGGCTGAGGTGAGTGGATTGCCTGAGCCCGCGGGTTCAAGACCTGCCTGGGCAGCGAGACCTCATCTCTACAATAAATCAAAAAATCAGCCAGGTGTGGTAGTGCATGCCTGTAATTCCGGCTACTTGGAAGGCTGAGGTGGAAGGATCACCGGCGCCCAGCAGGTCGAGGCTGCAGTGGCTGGGAGTGGCCACTACACTTCAGTCTGGGTGACAATCAGAGTGAGACTCCAACTAAAAAAAAAAAAAAAGTTTAGAATCATATGTTAACATCCACCAAAAGAAGTCTTTGGGAATTTTGAATGGAACTATATTTAATTTGTAAATCAGTTTTGTAGAGAATTTACATCTTAACACTATTGAGGCTTCCAATCCATGAACATGATATATCTCTCCATTTACTTAGGTCTTTTTAAATTTCTCTCAGAAATATTTTATTAAGGCTATGCATATATTTTGTTAAATTGATTCCAAAAACATTTGATATTTTTTATGCTGTTAAAAATAGTTGTCTTCTTAATTTCATTTTTTACTGTTTACTATGGACATTAGGAGTACAATTGATTTTTGTATTTTAATTTTGTATTCTGTGACTTCACATCAGTAGTTTTAAAAGTTCTCCAACTGATTCCAATGTGTAACCAAATCTGAGGCTCATTGTTCCATATCACTAGATTCTCAACCTGGCTGCATATTATAATAACCTGAGAGAATTTTAAAAATATATTTATGACTGTGTCTTGCTCCCAGAAATTCTAATTTAAATGATTTGGGGAGGCACTTGTCATTGGAATTTGTTTTAAAAAAAAAACTTTCCCAGTGATTTTAATACAGGAATCACTCCTCTATAAAAGTTTAGAATCATATGTTAATACCAACCAAAAGAAGTCTTTGGGGATTTTGAGTGGAACTGTATTTAATTTGTAAATCAGTTTTGTAGAGAATTTACATCTTAACACTATTGAGGCTTCCAATCCATGAACATGACATATCTCTTCAAACTTACAAAAGTTTCTTTCTAAATACCACACCCTTTTAAAAACTAACATCCAAATTCTTTAAACTAACATCCAAATTCCTTGGAGTGACACATACAGTAGACATGTTTTATAGCATATGTACCAATCCACATCTGTCTTTTACAGTGCATATCTATGCCTCACCCTTTTTTATATTGCATGTCTATGTCTGCTCATCATAATTGATTACACCAGCAAACTATAATTTCTGTGGCAAGGATTTGAAAGCTAAGATAAGCTAATCATATTCCTTTCTCAGAATTTAAATCTAAGAAATGAAGAGACTGAGGCAATTAGCAAAAAGGTTTAGAAACCAAAAGATCACGGCACTGCTCTCCAGCCTGGGTAACAGAGTAAGAACCCATTTCTTAAAAAAAAAAAAAAAACAAAAGAAAAAGAGAGGAAAGAAAGAATTTCCATAATACTGAGACAGCAGGGGATAGTCATGATGGGACATTGGCAAGTCTAATGCAAATATTTTGAATAAGCAAAGAAAGCAATTCAAGAAAAGAAAAAGACCCCAGCTGAAATGTCATCTCTCTGTAACCTTCTCTGACTCCCAGGAAGAAAAAATACTTCCATGAATGCTCTAAAGATATTATTTTAGTTCTTGCCACATTGTGTTTTAGCTTTTTATGTCTCTCTTTTTAGTCTGTGCATGTCCCAAGTTAAGGACCAAGTCTCATATGTGTTTTTATCCCTACTATATAGCTGGTATATCACAGGTGCTCAGGAAACATTGAATCAAATTAAATTTAATTGTGTGGCCATTAGTACAATATGACTTTTGAAAATCAAATAATAGTAATGAAAAATCTTTTTTCCTCTGTAGGCTTTTGAATTTTAGCATAAGTCTTGTTCCTCGTGGTATACGCCATCTGGCCTCTACTGAAGTTTTTCCTACTATATCCAGGAATAAGTATGGAACTGGAGTGGTAAGCATTCAAGCTGGCAGTGCTTTGCTAGCTAAAGGTGGTATCTGCTGTATAGGAGACTTGGCTTCCCACAAAAAAGATAAACTTGAACAGCTTCAATCAGGTAAATAATATTTTTTCAAATTAATTTTTGCCTGTTTAACTTAACTTTCATCAGTGTCAAGGAGTTACTTAACAATTAAGATGGTATTGCATATTTTAGGAATTGAGAAATCATATTCAATGCCATTTATCATTTCAGTTTTATACATAAAAACAGAAATTTAATGTACAAATACACTATTTTAGTCTTTGCTCTCAGTTGTACTAACACATGAGTTTGTACTGGGCCACATTTATTTCTTCTTGTCCTATTGCATTAGCTATTATTTCCAGTATAATGTTGAAAAGCAACGGTGACATGAGACATCCTTGCCATGTTACTGATCTTAGTGGGAAAGCTCACACTTCTCACTCATGTATACCATGGTGTTAGCTGTACATTAAAAATAAAAATAGGGCCTTGCTATGTTGCCCAGGTTGGTCTAGAACTCCTGACTTCAAGTGATACTCCCTCCTTGGCCTCCCAGAGTGCTGGGAGTATATGTATGAGTTACCACACCAGCCTGATTTGCCATTATTTTGTTGAGGATTTTTGTGTCTATGCTAATAAGATATATTGGTCTGTAATTTTTTTTGGTTTTTTTGCCTTATGCTGTTTTGTCTGGTTTTTGTGTTAGAGCAATGCTGTTGGGCTAGATTTATACCTAACAAGAATATGGTCAGCCACGGGCCAGAAAAAGAGCAGTCAAGGCCTTCTTGGCATATCAGCATGAATGTACAAACATGCTCAGGGCACATGGTATATAGCTTCACCCTGTAAGAAAGTGCAGAAATAAGCCGGGCTCGGTGGCTCAGCCTGTAATCCCGTGCTTTGGGAGGCTGAGGTGAGTGAATTGCCTGCACCCGCGGGTTCGAGACCCGCCTGGACAACTTGGCGAGACCTCATCTCTATAATAAATTTAAAAAAAAAATCAGCCAGGTGTGGTAGTGTGCATCTGTAGTTCCAGTAGTTCCAGCTACTTGGAAGGCTGAGGCGGAAGGATCGCCGGAGCCCCAGCAGGTCGAGGCTACAGTGGCCAGGAGCAGCCACTGCACTCCAGTCTGGGCGACAGAGTGAGAATCCCACTCAAAAAAAAAAAAGTGCAGAAATAGACTTATATTAATATAGTCAGTTGATTTTTTGACTATGGCACCAAAGACAGTCAATGGGAATAAGAGTTTTTTCAACAACTGATAGTGGAACATCTGGTTTTATATATATATGAAAAAAAATTAATCTCAGCTCATACCTCACAACTATGCACAATAATTTAGAAGGATAAGAAGACTAAATGTAAAAAACAAAAACTATGAAGCTGCTAGAACAACATATAGATGTCTTCATGACCTTAGACTAGGCAAACATTTATTAGACAGAACCCAGATAGCACTGAACATAAAGAAAATAACTGAAAAATTGGACATCATCAAAACTAAAAAGTATACACATCACAAGGCCCCATTAAAAAAGTGAACAGCCAAGCAAAGAAAACTATTGCAGCATATATATTTGACATAAACCTGTATAGCCAGAACATAGAAATAACTTCTTTTTTTGTTGTTGTTTATTTTACTATAAAGTTGTAGGGTACAAGTCACGGTTAGGTACATTAGTAGTCTACGTGCAGGTGAAGTTTGGGCCTCCAACTGGTCCTCACTTCGTCTGGTTTAGGATCAGGTACCCTTGGTGATGTTGTATACCCCCTACACGCCCTGGCAGTGTCCCACTACTAATCCTCTCTTGTAGGATTGTGATGAGTGTTCAGGACCCACTTATAAGGAAGAACATGTGGTATTCAGTTTTTTGTTTCTATGATAGATCACTGAGTATGATGGACTCTAAGTCAACCCAAGTTGCCACAAAGTTCATAATTTTGTCCTTTGTAAGCCATAAAAGAGAAAATAGACAAGTGGGACCTCATCAAACCGAAAAGCTTTTGCACAGCAAAAGAAACCATCAAGAGAGTGGGGAGGCAACCCACAGAATAGGAAAAAAATATTTTCCAACTATATATCAGACAAAGGCCTAACATCCACCATCTTCAGGGAATGCAAACGAGCAGAAAGGAAAAAAACAAACAACGCTATTAAAAAGTGGGCAAAGGACCTCAATAGACACTTCTCAAGATGTACGAGAAGCCAACAGATACATGAAAAAATATTCAGCCTCACTAATTATCAGAGAAATGCAAATTAAAACCACATTGAGATACCACCTAACCCCAGTAAATATGGCCATCATTAATAAATAAACGAACAACAGATACTGGTGAGGATGTGGAGAAAAGGGAATGCTTCTACAGTGTTGGAGGGAGTGCAAACTGGTTCAACCTCTATGGAAAACAGTGTAGTGATTTTTAAAAGAACTAGAAATTGTTCTTCCACACGACCCAGCAATCCCCCTCCTGGGAATATACCTGGAGGAACTCAAATCATTCTACAAAAAAGATACTTGCTGACACATGTTTCTTGCAGCATTATTCACAATAGCAAAAACTTGGAACCAATCCTGCTTCCCATTGAAAGAAAATGTGGTACATATATACAACAGAAACAATTTCTATAAGTCAATAGTATAAAAAACAAAGAACCCAACAAAAAATGGGCAAAAGTGTTGAATAATGACTTCACAAAGGAAGATAGAATGATTAATAAGCCATTAAAGAGTGCTGAATATCATTAGTCACTAGTGAAATGAAAATTAAAACCACAAGGAGATACCAATACTCACATACCAGCAGGGGAGCAGCTTCATGGGTGTAGAACAAGTGCAGTTGTACAGAGGCCTTTCTCTCCCCACAGGAGCTTGGCATTTAGTTTAAAACTTTGCTGTCATCATCTTCAAATTTTTCTTAATTTTATCTTTGAATTTGGATTTTGTAAGGAAGTCCAATGATACAATGAAGCTTGAGTGTGAGTAGAGGAGACATATGCATGCACGTGTCTATTATGACTTGCTGCCCTATTTCATACAGCATTTGCAATCACTGTGTGCCTTCCATAACACACTTAATTTGTACTTGTTTTGATTCCCACTGGACTTCTACGTATCATGAATGCACTGCAATTCAGTGCTCATGTCTCATATGAACTCATTTTCAACCGAGTAAGAGGGATGCTAATAACCCCAAGCTACCATGCTTTCCATTGAACCAGATGTGCTTCTAATGCAGGAAGAAAGCAATGGCATTTTAAGAAGCACAAATGACCAAGGAACCCTGTCATATATGCTTTCCTACTTGGTTACTTCACTACTTAAAGTATACAGTTCAGCGCCTTTTAGAATATTCAGTCTTTCAACTATTAACACTATCTAATTTCAGAATATTTTCATCACCCCAGAAGTAAACCTCATACCTATTAGAAGTTACCACCCCCAATCCCTGCCACTTACTCCCCCAGAGTCCCTGGCAAATGCAAATTGCTCTCTGTTTCTGTGTGTTTGCTTACTCTGAACACTTCATATTCAGTTGTCCATCAGTATTTTCAGGGGATTGCTTCCAGGTCCCTTAGGGATAACAAAACCCACAGATGCTCAAGTCTCTAATATAAAATGGTATAGTATTTGCAAATAACCCACACACATCCTCCTGTATACTTTAAATCATCTCTAGATTATGTATAATACCTAATACAATGTAAATGCTATGTAAATTGTTATATTGTGTTGTTGGATTTTTTTATTTTTATTTTTTTGAGTTGGGGATAGGGGTCTCACTCTGCCACCCAGGTTGGAGTGCAGTACCACAATCATGGCTCACTGCAGTCTTGAACTCCTGGGTTCAAGAGATCCTCTACCTCAGCCTCCTGAGTAGCTGGAACTACAGGCACACACCATGCCTAGCTAATTATTTTTTAATTTTTTGTAGAGATGAGATTTTGTTATGTTGTCTCTGCTAGTCTCAAACTTCTGACTCAAGAGTCCTCCTGCCTTGGTCTCCCAGAGTCCTGGGATTACAGGCATGAGCCATCATGTCTGGCCTTGTATTGGTTTTGATTTGCATTTTTTTTTATTGTGTTGTTTTATTTATTTATTGAATATTTTTCATCCACAATTGGTTAAATCTGTGGATGCAGAGCCCTCAGATATGGAGGGACGACTGTAAATGGACTCAAACTATATGTGGTTTTCTGTGACTGGTTCCTTTCACTTAGCATAATTTTTTTGAGTTTCATTTGTGTTGTGGCATCTATCATTCTAACCATTTTTAAGTGTACAATTCAATGACATTAAGTATGTTTACACTGTGTTCACCACTGTCCATTTCCAGAACTGTTTCATCATCCCAAACAGAAACTCTGAACCTGTTAAACAACAGCTCCCTATTCTCCACTCCCTCTGGGCCCTAGTAACCTCTATTCTACTTTCTGTCTCTATGAATTTGCCTATTAATAGAATTTCATTCCTTTTATGTATGAATAATATTCCTTGTATAAATACCACTTAAAAAAACCTATTCATCTTTTGATGGACACTGGGGTTGTTTCTCCCTTTTGGTTATTATGAATAATTCTGTTATGAATATTTGTGTACAAATATCTGCTTGAGTTTCTGCTTTCAACTTTTTTGGGTGTGTATCTACAAGTGGAATTGCGGGGTCATATGGGAATTCTATGTTCAACTTTTGGAAGAACCTTTATATTGTTTTCCACAGTGGCTGCACCATGATATATTCCCACCATTAATTCACAAGGGGTCCAGTTTCTCCACCTCACTCCTATTACATTTGTTAAGTAATAAAATCTTTTTAAAAGAAAAGCTTTGTATATTAGTACTTTTAACATCAGTATTTTTCCTGCTTTTGAACAATAGACCCATATTTTCATTTTACACTGGACTCCACAGATTAACTGACTCTGCCCACTAGAATGGCAAAAATTAAAAAGATTGACAACAAAAAATATTATCAAGGATATGGTACATCTAAAATTCTCAAATGCATATTGTTGGTGAGACTATAAAATGGTACAAATTTGCCAATTGCTGTGACACTTTCTATAAAGTTAAATATACATTTACTCTGATTCAAGAGAAAAATAAGCATGTACATAAAAGACTGTTAAGATAAATTTCAAAACTATTTGAGAGGTAGAGTTCTAAGAATAGTAATAAATCCATAGATTGAATTATCATAAAGGATAAAGGAAGGATAGGAAAAAAAATATGATGTTTCCATATTTTTTGTTTGGGTTTTAGGTGAATGGATGATGACACCACCAGTTGTGAAACATGAACACAGAGCTATTGAGGGGATGATGAATTTGATTTTGAACATGTTGAATTTGAGATATATTTCCCCCAGTTGTTGTAGTTCATATTTTCTCTGTCTTTTCCTCTCTCATTCCCACATGGATGGCCTGCTTTCTATCATTTTTTCCCCACATAAAAGAACATTACTTAATTTTAGCTTCTCTTGTGAGCCTGCACTACAAGACCAATCACTTAGCCCTCTGCCTATTTCATCTATATGCCCAACCACAGTTCTAGCTACATACTTTGGATGACTGGTTGTCATCAAGTATGAGATACATAAGCACTCAAATATTCTTCTTACCTTGTTATTTTTATGGCAGATGCTCTAATCTAGCAATATCCTGCAAAAAAAATCAAATTTACTTGTCTTCACTGTCTAAAGTTTGGACAGTATAATTCTGTATAATATTTGTTATTAATTTGTAGACATATAGACCAAAGTGAACTTAAATAACAAATGGATACTGTCTTCTGACTTAGTTCTGGAGAGCAGAAGGATTACAGTATACATCCCAGGAAAGAAGTTTGGGGATGATGTCAATCAACAAATGACTTTTCCAGTTCAGTGCAGTTTTTGGTCTTTTGTTGATATGGATTCATCTTCAAGGAGAAATGTACAGAAAACCAACACTCTAATTGGCCAGATGGTAAGGAATATGTTTATTTTATTGTTAGACTGTTATTCAGAGAATTTAGTCACAGATTTTAATATGTCTTCTTAATGTTTTTGTTATTAACCCATTTCTATACTTTTTTTTTTTTGAGTTGGAGTGTCACTCCGTCACCCAGGCTAGAGTGCAGTGGCACGCTCACGGCTACCCCAGCACTGACCTGCTGGGCTCAGGCGATCCTTCTGCCTCAGGCTTCCAAATAGTTGGAACTACAGGCATGCGCTACCATGCCTGGCTAATTTTTTGATTTATTGTAGAGATGAGGTCTCGCCAAGTTGCCCAGGCTGTTCTTGAACCCATGGGCTAAGGCAATCCTCTCACCTCAGCCTCCCAAAGTGCTGGGATTACAGGCTTGAGCCACCACACCAGCCTTATTTCTATACTTAATTGGGTGCTAGAACTAAATGATGACTCAGTTATATAAAAATTCTAATGTTTTTTAATAATGTAGATAAAGTGCTCACTAGAACTTCCTATTTGAATGGGTAGTTAGAGAGTCTTTAATAAATAATATATTAAAAACTCAATAAAGAGGCTTTTTGAAAAATCACCACAAAGTTCTCAGACAATTCAGAAATTGCTTTAAATTGTAATTAATAATATAAAAAATAATAATTTAAATAATAAATTATGTAACATTAATTTATAATTATTTCCAAATTGTGAAAATACAAAGTTTGATGTTTGTTACCTTTTGGTTTATGTAGGATTGCAGTTTGATTCCAGCTAACCTTGTGGAGGCATTTGGATTATTAATTAACTGCTATGAATCATCTCCTTGCCACCCACTTCTTCCTATTGTGCAACATACTTTAAAGAAAGCCACTGATCCAGAAGGGTTGCTTTCTGTCACTTCTAAACAGTTCACAACTGAAGATTTTGAAGAGGTAAAGGTAGATAAAATAGTTACCCAGGATGCCTGTTTAATCTTTCTCAATTCAAATAGAAATCCTTTTGAGTATTCAATTTTCTTTATTTAGGATTCTTTTATTCCAACTTACTTCCAGCTTCCAAACATTTTAGGGACACTGTATAGAAATTATTAGTGTTATGATTAAATAAACAGTTTTGTAAGGAAGTGGATATTAAAATGTTGAGTTTGGCCAGGTGTGGTGGCCAAACTCATCTCTACAAAATATTTTAAAAATTAGCTGGGTATGGTGGCATGCACCTGTAGTCCCAGCTATGCAGGAAGCTGAGGTGGAAGGATTGCCTGAGCCCAAGAGGTTGAGGCTGCAGTGAGCCATGATTGTGCCACTATACTGTAGCCTGGGTGACAGAGTGAGACCTTGACCCAAAAAAAGAAAGAAAGAAAAGAAAATATGTGTGGCACATTCAGATAATCTGAAAGTAGGTGATGTAAATTTAGTAATAATTGTCATAGCTACTAAAGGTGTTCAAGTATTTACAACCGAAATCCTTTTAACTGTTTGGAAATCTGTCCACTGTAAAGTTGGTACATCTGAGTATAAAAGATGAAAGGCAAGGGCCTATTTCTGTTCTTTTGTATTGTCACAGAAATATGAACTTTCTTCTTTAAATAGTTTATCATTGAATTGAGATAAACAAGATACATGAAACAATTAAGGAACAGTTTAAATGCTAAGCTGGATGGGGCTGACTGTGAATATTTTAGGGATTCAGAAAGGAAGTTATCAATGTAGAATACAAAAGTTAAGAAGACTTCACTGAGGAGGTGAGACTTTAGTTGGGCATTAAAGAAAGGTACAATTTAGATGATAGGAAGGATGAATGTTCTAAGCAGAATAAAGTAAGAGAAAAGATATAAAAGTAGAAATTAGTATACATGGAAAACTATGAGAGGCCAAGTATGGTGGCTCATGCTTATAATCCCAGCACTCTGGGAGGCCGAAGTGGGAGGACTGCTTGAGACCAAGAGTTTGAGACCAGCCTTGGCAACATAACAAGACCCCATCTCTACAAAAAAAAATTAAAAACAAAAAAAACTAGCTAGACATTGTGACCGCTTCTGTAGTCCTAGCTACTCAGGAAGCTGAGGTGGGAGGATTTCTTTCCTGAGCCCAGAAGTTCGAGGCAGCAGTGAGCCATAATCACACCATTGCACTCCAACCTGGGTAACAGAGCAAGACCTTGACTACAATATATATATATATATATATATATGAAAGAAAACTATGAGAAGATCAGCTTGATTAGAAAACTATGAGAAGATCAGAAAAATTGTATTACAGAGTCATTGAGATTTGGCAAATCTGCAACAAGCCTTGAAGCACAGGCAGAAGAGTTGGTTTGTAAGACCATATAGAATAGTCGTAGACTTTACTAGGTAAGTGAAATCATGAAAATGATTTCTCTGGAAGACAAATCTGTCCACCACACAAATGAGTGGATGGTATTTGTTGCAACCTGGGCTCTCCAGAAGGCTAAGATGGAGTTTAGTGTGCCAAAATACATTTGGGACTACTCTTCTGTCAATATCGGTGGACTTTATAATGTCCTCCCTATTCTGCCTCAAGCAGTCATCTGATGTGGGCTGTCCTATAAGGGGCTGACAGCTGGAAGCCATCACTGACAGCACTCCTAGTAGCTGAGGCAACAAGTCCTTTCCTGAAGGGGGATATACATGGCACATCATCATGCCTCCACAATGATAGAACTTAGAGAGGGTTGCTGACATTATTAATAGTATTATTATTTAATTCTGAAGACCTGGAGAGAATTGTGGAGTATAAAGAACATAAAGACACCAGGATATGTCCAGTCTCGGACATATCCACATACTTTTAAAAAAGTTATATTTAAAGTATAAATATTGTAGTTAATGGCAATCTTATTATCATTAATTTTTTAATCTAGTTGTATGAGTTGAAAAAGTAGAAAATAACTAGAATACTAAAAAAATTAGGAAATCATGTCACAGGTAAGGACTTAAGGAACTGAGAATCACCAACTCTGACCAAAAAGAAGCACAAAACTCAGAGAAAACAATAATCATCATTGTGTTGGAGAATTATTCTCTACCCAAATCTTATGGAATCTTTAAGGACTGCCTTCATTGCTGTTAACAGAATGCCTCTCCTCATTACAAGTGTTCAGTGAAATACTCTTTAAAAGCAAGGAAGGAAAGTAAGGAGGGCAAGTAACTCTAGGACCAGTGAGAGAAAGATATAAGCAAGTAAACTGTCAAAGAAATAAAGCTATTCCAAGGGAAGTGAGCTGAGGGAGGTGAGCCTTTTCCCACTGGTAGCAAAGACATTGCAAAGTCTTTCAAATACACTGAACAGAACATTTCTTCATTGAGGGTAAGGAGACTTCCCTGGGAAACTCTAATATTCTTTACAAATATAAAATTATGATTTAGAATGCTCAGTGACTTTGGGATGGCCCCAGATATTTACTCAGTTTTTAGTGTAAATAAAATATGCAAACTTTAAATAATAAAATGCCAGTATATTTTTGGTTTTAGTTATATAGATTCTATAATAAAGTGAATCTCTTGAATTTTTCACACTTTTAATTTAGCTACTGGCTTTTGCAAAGAATTTGAATGTAGAATTCAGCTTGGAAGCAGAAAGAATGATTCATGGCTATTATCTAGCAAGTCGCAGAATCAGAACAGACTCTATATATGGATCAAAACTGTCAGCATCTGCATTAAAATATCTGTAAGTATTCAAGATTTTAAAACCAGTATTAACTTTAAAATGATGTGCTTAATTAACTCATTTCTCTGCTTGTTTGATTGCTAGTTGGTTGATTTATAATGTACTTGTTCCAGAAGAACTTCTGGTGGCTTCCTGTTGTTATATTGTACATCATTATAATCTCAATTTTTTTCACTAAATTAATTTTTATTGAATCACCTGTATGAGATATGTACACTGATTGATGAAAAAAGTGTAATGATTCCAAATGCAAATGGTTGTTTTTAAAAATGTGGCTGTTTATATTCAGGTATTTTGTAGTTAAGCGTAGAAAAAAGTCTTAAGTATGTTGTTCCTTGTACTTTTGAATACATTAATAGACTCATCTATTATTGTTCCTTGAAGAGTTTTTCAAAAACTAATCTTTATTATAAAGAAAGTATGAACATCGTAAGACTAAAATGATGAGTAAAATATCCTGCTAACCCTACCCATTCCTACCCCAATCCCTAGAGATAATCACTATTAACAATTTTTATGTGTCCTTCTAGAAATTATCCATTCAAATACCTGCATATGTATGTAATTTAAATTTTATATACATATGTATTTTTTTTTAGTGAGAAAGCAGGAATTTATTAAGAATCCAGAAACTCTCCAAGCAGGTGGGGACCTAAAAGAGGGTTCCTAATGTTACATATTTTAAATGATGTTATTTAAATATATAAGCATATAGATGTATAATTTTATATAGATAGATAAAACATTTTTGCTCAAATTAAATCATGCATACACATAAAAAATTACCTCATTCCATTTTTGTAACTGCATCACAACTTCACTACATTGTGATGTGGCTGTACCATAATTTAAACAGCTTCCTATTGATAGACCCTTACTTTATTTGCTATATTGAAGTATAATCTCAAAGAAATTATGAAGTAGGATCAGGAGTAAAATAATCTACTAAATAAGTAAAAATCCTGTTATAACTGCAATATAAAGGAAGATAAATGAAGAACTAGCAGGAAATGTCAAAGAGAGATCTATAAGATATAGATATGTTTAATTAATTTCTTCAACTGTAGATGTATCCTCATAGAGCTGAAAAAATTCTAAAGATAAGCCAAGGTAGAAATCAACTTTGATAAATGTTTTAAAATGATAAATACAATTATATAATGCTTTCTATTTTCTATAGTAATATTTAAAATACTCAGATCGTCTTATTTGCTCATAATGATTTTTTTCTCTGTAGTAAAAAGCTATTTTGTATTTAAACTGACAGCCTCAGTGTACACATGACTGTGTTGATTCAAAAATAAAGCAGAGTTAATTTTAATATGATAACTCTACTTTTCCACACCATAGAAATAAATACTGAGAGTGGTTTATGAAACAGCAAAGTAAATGAACCACTATCTGGAAGAGTCATAAACCTTTAATTTTTCTCCTTATTCTATAGACAGGTACTTAGTAACACCGTCTTAGCTTTTCTAGAGAAGTAGAGCTGAACAATAAATACCCTCTTCTCTTTCCCTGAAAGTCTCCATATAAATTCTGTCCTGGTAAACATTTTTAGAAGGTGCTTGGATGAGGACATGATAATCAAATTTGTAAATGAGCAACATTGGAGATGCCTCCACAGCCTTAAATTACAACTTTGTCCTAACAAGAAGAAAGTTAGTATATCCCCAAACTCCCTAGTACAAGTGTGAATTGATGGGGAAGAGGTGATGAGGTATCATATGAAAAGATGAAAGTACTTTTTGTTAGGGTAGGGATAGGGTAAGAGTGGATGGTGAAGAGGGGCGCAGCACCACCGGAGTCAGAGTGCTGGAGGTATGCACTGATACCCAGAGATCCAAGTAATGAAAAGAGTTGCAACAGACAAAGAGGTGAAAGAAGAAAAGATTTATTTAAGAAAAGGTCATTCCCCACAGACAGGAAGTGAGCCTACACTCTAGGTGAGTGTGGTCCCATAGCGGGCCTACACTGTAGATGAGTGTGGCCCCAGCAGGCCTACACTGTAGATGATTATGGCACCATAACAGGCCCACACTGTAGATGATTATGGCACCATAACAGGCCCACACTCTAGATGAGTGTGGCACTGTAGCCCCCTTGAGCCCCAGCTTAAATCCTTTCCCTTGGAGGCATTGCAATCAGGTAGACTTAACTGCTGTGACTTCCTTATTGACCACCCGCAAATGTCTTGGAGACCTTGTGACACAGAGACCCATTAATGTCTGTCCATATTATCATAGCCCCTAGAGAAGGGCATGACAAGGATTTTAGTGTTCTTGCACCTTCCCAAATGACATTCCTTAAAGCTAATGGAGGGTACACTTCCCCTTATCTCCTGTGCATTCCCAGTTGGCAGCCCTGCGATCTGCATAACTTTTGTAATTATAAGTTTCATGGCTTCTACAATCCTTGCGCAATGCATGATGTCTTAGACCTTGTAAATTCCCTTTACTCTAGGCAAGCCTGATTGTCACTATGAGATATCTCTGGCATCAGGAAGTCTGTGTTTCTGAAAAGACAAATTTGGCAAAGTTAATCTTTATCTAAAGTATGCATTTCTCCAAAACATAGCTTCTACTTTCTCATCATTGTGTCAGGGTTTAAGAACAAGATGAAAAATGGCTTCCCACTCTTGGTCTGTCGTTTCATTCCCTACCCCTGCTCTTGGAAATATTCTTATGATCCTGGGAAACAGGGCAAAGATCAATCTTCTATAACTGCTTCCTGCTGAGATGGGCCGTAGAGATGTCCCTACCTATGTATTTCCAAGGATATGAACAGGAAACGGCAGGACCTTAACCGAATACTATTTGGATCTAATAAAACACCGAGTGAGAGGACAGGCAGAAATTATTAAGCAAACAATGATGAAAAAGGCTATTGCCCCAGAAACAATGCTAGAAAAAAATGAAAGTAGTCCCATAAATTATATGTATGTTTAGCCAAAGCTTCTAATTCATTAACGTAAGTTGAAATATTCCCTTGCAAATTATCTATAGTTGTACCTTACAAGCTTTGACAAAGTCTGAAAAAAGAAATATTGAGAACATTAGAGACATGTGATTAGGGTGTAGCTTAAATTTAGAATTTAAAAACAGGTAAACATTGACAAGACAAAACAGTTTCCTTTGTTTTTATAATAGGTCTGATATACTTTTACAACAATTGATATGCTAGAGGGTGAAGCCCAGGTTATTTTGTTAGTAATTCTTGTGCCTGGACTGCAGGAAGCTCAGGAGGAGAGTGTTGGGCAGGTGTGGTTCCTGGGGCTTGTTTTTTACCCTACCCTAGAGAAATTGAATTGAAAACTTGAAGAGTTTAAGTATTAAAATTTTTAAAAATATAATGTTATAACACAAGATTACAGTAGTTATTGCAAAAGTTACTTATTTAGTCAGAATGATAGTCCAAAGATTTTGGGGGAAAAAAAGCAAAACTCCCTTTTTTGTATCAAAGACAGTGGGGGGAGGGCTGACTGAATTTTGTCTCTTTCTTCTCCCCTTTGTTGTTTAAAGGAGAAAATTCTTTTGGAGATTGTTAATTAAGAAGCTTATGTTCTGGTCTTTGAGTAACATTTTGGCCTAGCATTAGTATCCTTGATATTAATGGTAAATGTATAGAACCTTTTTATCGCCTCAAGTGTTTATAGAATTCCTTTCACATACTTCTTTTCACAAACTTTCACATACCACATTTGACATACTCATACCATTTTTCGACATGCTTGAACTGTCTATATTTTTGTCCTGTACTTTCCTTTCTTTAAATAACCAGCCATTCTATTATAGAATAAAAATGTACCATACAAGATTCTTTCCTATACAAAATTATTTCTCTTTCTTTTATCCTTCCTTATAAAAAAATACCTTATACCAACAACTTTCTTTACATTTTTCCTAACCTCAGAGCTCTAACCAGAGCAATAAGTTCAGCCTTTTGTGCTGAGGTGCCAGGAGGCAAAGGTGCACTTTTAATTACTTTAGCAGTGGTCATTATGGTATATTCGGCCATCCTGTCTTCATTAATAACAAAATTGCTCCCATCAATCTACCGTTCGCATTCAGAGTTAGGAAGGGGAATGTTGGTTAAATCTTGTCTTACTGCTCTAGACATTTTAGGAATTTCTGTACAGCTATGCTCCATCAGTTCTGGAAGTGGCAGGAGGGTAGCTAGGTTTAAAGGACCTGACTTTTGGAGAGTTATATTAGAGTTACCAATGAACAGAGTTTGGTACTTAGTAATACTTGAGCTAGTAAGAAATTTGTAAGTACTATTGTTCAAAATGTTAGCCACCTGGTGTGGAGAGTACACATCAATATGCTGTCCATAAGTAATTTTATTGGCTTCCTGAGTTAGTATGGCAGTTGCTGCTAGGGCCCAAAGGCAAGATGGCCACCCTTTTGCTATATTGTCCAATTGTTTAGATAAGTATGCTACTGCCTTCATATCTGGACCGTACTTTTGTCCAAGCAGCCCCATGGCTATTCCTCCCTTCTCCATTGTGTAGAGGATAAAATTCCTTTGTAAGTTGGGGAGTGCCAGAGCTGGGGCCCTTGTTAGTGAATCATGGAGCAAAAAGAAAGCTTTTTGTGCCATTGAGTGCCAGTCCAGAGGCTCATGTTTTGGACCCTGAGTAGCCTCATATAATGACTTAGCTATAAGTCCATAATTGGGAATCCAAAGCTAAATAAAAGGTACTCAAAAAGCACAGTGGTGATAGCTCGGGGTAAAGAATAACACGAGTTCCAATTTTTGTCATAATGTCCCTTCCCAATAATGGAGCTGGACATGTTGGCATAACAAGGAAGGAGTGCTGAAATATTTTATCTCACAGAACACAAGAAAGTAATGGCGTAGTGAGGGGCCTGGATAGAATGCCCTGCACCCCCATGGCTGAAAGGGGTGAAGGAAGGAGTGGACCGGGAAATTTAAGTGAGCTGAGCATGTAGCCCCCATATCAATAATGAATGATATAACCCTGCCAGCTACTGATATTTCCACCCTAGGCTCGGTTGGTTTAATAGTTTGTTCCAAAGACATTGGGGCTACCAAGCCAGGGGCAAGTCAATCCGACTGGAGCAAGGCCAAGAGATCCCCTTCCGAGATCGTGGGAGGTGCCTGGTGTCCCTCATTTGCAGCAAGCCTCTGGGCCATGCGCTCCCCTCCAGCTAGGCAAACAGGGCAATCATGAGCCCAGTGTTCATGCTGTTTGCATTTGGGACAGGGTTTTGCGGGTGGCGGGGCTTGACAGTCTTTGGCCATATGCCCATTTTGATGGCATCAGAAACAAACCTGGGAAGGGGGCTATGTACCCCTTCTGCAATTGATCATCTGGGTGGAAGATTATCAGTGGTGGCTCTTTTTACTAAAGCGGTGGATAAAAGCTGAAATGCTTCCCACTTATGTTTTGATTCTGTATTCTTTCCTCCTTTCGGTTGTTAAAGACTTTAAAGGCTGTATCCAATAGTTCCAATTAAGGGGTTTACGGGCCCTTTTCTAATTTTTGGAGTTTGCACCTAATGTCCGGTGCTAACTGGGAGTTAAAATACATAGCCAAAAGAGTTTGTCCCTCCAGAGAGTTTAAATCAATTTTAGTAAACTGCTGAAACGTAGGAAGTGGAGTTATAGGAGAGTATGAAGGAGGTGTAGGATTTTTCAGGGGAAGGGTGGCTAAATCAGCAGGGTTGGTATCCTCTGAGGAATCTATGGGCAATGGGGTCTGGGGAGCCAACACAAAAATACGACAGGAAGAATGAATAACTGGGTGGCAAGCTGACTTATAAAAGGCCTGAATATATAGGATCTCAAGGTATTTGTCATTTCTTTTTAAGTACAAATCACGTTGCAGAAGGGTGTTAGGAGCTAGGGAGCCACCCTCTGGCCAGGTTTTGCCATCTCCCAGCTTATATTGTGGCCAAGCAGTGTTGCAGTAAAAAATTAAACACATTGGGTGAATATCTTCACCGAGTTCTAAAACTTTAAGGTGTTTTAAAAGGCATGCCAGTGGTGTATACGGGCTCTTGGTTTCATGGATTTGTTTTTGACCCTTAACCCATCCACTTCCTCTGCCGGGCATCCCAAACAGGTTCAAAGGAATCAGCGCAAAGGATGTGAGTCACCAGGGAGAGAGCGTCCTCCCATCCCTGTGCCCACTGGAGCTCATGGGCACCATGTCCCACTGGAGCTTATCCACCATGTCTTGGAAGGCCTGGTACCAGGACTTCCAGCAATTGGGTCCCTTGCTAGGATTCTCCCAAGACGGAAAACTGGGAAAAGGCTGAGAGACCCAGAAACTCATCTGAACAGCAAAGCTGGGGGGGTCCAAGAGGGGTTCCAAGAGCGTACATTCAAATATGTGGGTGTGTGGAGGATAAATGAGGGATGACTCACCAGAGGTGCAGAAAGGCACATCATACAACTGTTGGAGTGTCAAGGTCCTTCATGGAGTCATTTCACCAACCAGAGAAGAAAAGAGCAAAGAAACCAAGCACTTTGTCTCCCACCCACACGGGCACTGGCAGTCTGAACTTTCCTTTGGGGACCTTCTTGCATCCCTAGGGAGTAGCCCTAGGCAGAGACCATCAGTTGTCCTCCAGGGAAACTCAGCAATCCTGGCTAGAAGAAAGTAAAGAGTTAACCTTAGTCCCTTACCCTAGCGGGCCACAGTGGTCTGATGTCTTTCCCTGGGACCTTCCAGCACGCTGAAGTGTAGCCTCATCCAGAGCTTTGAGTTGCCACCAGGTCCCAACACAGTCCACAGAGGTCACCAGTTAGGAAATATGGAAGACTAGAGAGAGAGAGAGAGAGAGAGAGAGAGAGATTGTCAGTGGGACCTCCAGAAAATGTTAGGGTATGGATAGGGTGAGGGTGGATGGGTGAAGAGGGGCACAGCACTGCCACAGCCAGAGTGCCAGAGGTGTGCACTGACACCCAGAGATCCGAGTAATGCAAAGAGTTGCAACACACAAAGAGGTTTGAAAGAAGAAAAGATTTATTTAAGAAAAGGTCACTCCCCACAGACAGGAAGTGGGCCTACACTCTAGGTGAGTGTGACCCCATAGCAGGCCTACACTCTAGATGAGTGTGGCCCCAGTGGGCCTACACTGTAGATGAGTGTGGCACTGTAACAGGTCCACACTTAGATGAGTGTGGCACCGTAGCCCCCTTGAACCCCAGCTTAAATCCTTTCCCTTGGAGGCGTTGCAACCAGGTAGACGTGACTGCTGTGACTTCCTTATCGACCACCTGCAGATGTCTTGGAGACCTGTGACACAGAAACCCATTAACGTCTGTCCATATTATTGTAACCCTTAAGAAGGGTGTGACAAGGATTTTAGTGCTTCTCTACCTTCCCAAATGACATTCCTTTGAGCTAATGGAGGGTGCACTTCCCCTTATCTCCCATGCATTTCCAGTGGGCAGCCCTGCGATCTGCATAACTTTTGTAATTACAAGTTTCGTGACTTCTACAATCCTTGCCCAATGCATGATGTCTTAGGCCTTGTAAATTCCCTTTACTCTAGGCAAGCTTGGATTGCCACTATGAGATATCTATGGCATCAGGAAGTCTGTGTTTCTGAAAAGACAAAGTCAGCAAAGTTACTCTTTATCTAAAGTATGCATTTCTCCAAAATACACCTTCTACTTTCTCATCGTTGTGTCAGGGTTTAAGAGCAAGATGAAAAATGGCTTCCCACTCTTGGTCTGTCCTTTCACTTTTTATATTTAATAAGAGTAAATAATATAATACGGCTTTTAATAATACTGGAATTTGAAGTTGCATCAATAGAATATGTATCAAGAACAACAAAATACTAGGTCTGCCTCACCTCTACTCTGATTGTCATATCATATCTGTACTGTATTGAAAAGGAGTATTAACTATATCTGGTCACAAGGAGAGTAGCTAGGATGGTAAGGAGCTGAAAATTATCACTTATAACATACTAAAGGAACTAGAAATATTTATTTTGAAGAAAAGAAAACATAAGACAACTGTAAAAATTACCTTTAAATATTTTAAGAGCAATCACATTTAAGGGGTTTCAAAAGACAGAACAAGAGACCAGTGGGTGGAAATTACATTTACAATGAAATTAATTTTAGCTTAGAAGTATAGTCTTCGTTATAGTTACAGTCATTGTTAGTTAGTTGCCAAACTTTCAAATGCCTTTACTTAACCCTGTTTTATAGCTAATTTTCAAAAAAAATCTCAGAAATTAAGTGATTTACACAAAGCCACACAGTTAGTAAATTCTAGAGACTCAGTCTACTTTTCTGATTACCAAGTCCAGCAATCATTCAGGCATATCACATCTGCATAATGAAAATATAAAGGAGACTTCCAGGGAACCAAGGCTGGATAACAAAAAAACAAAGGAATGGATTGCCTAGTGAAACAGTGAATGCTGGAAGGGGTTCAAAAGAGACTGGATAATAAGTAGCCTAGGATGTTGTAGAGGAAATTCAGTTATCTGATAAGAGTTTGAACTTTGAACTTCAAGATCCTTTTGAACACTGCAATTGCAAGATTCTATGAGGACTTCTTCAGCTAGGTGAGAAACTAGAAGAAAAGGTCAAGGATTTGTCTATTAGATCTATTAGAGATTATTTAGTTAGATAAAATTTCCCAACTGTGTATTTATCTGAACAGAACTTAGAAGGGAAGTATGGAATAATAAATAGAAACCAGAATGGAAACCAACTCTTTTATAACAAGTCAGGATCCTGGCTTGTTCTGGAATAGTCTATTTAAGTTGGTAGGAGAAAAATGCTTTGAAAAGAAACTAAAAAACACTTTTAAGTAAAAATATGCTGACCTTTTTGGTGTGGCTAATGTTGGCATATGTCTTGGTTTGTTTCTTGCCAAAATATATATTTTTGTAATAGAGACATATTTTGATTGGCATCAGTTTTCTTTTTTAGAATTTCTCTATCTGAAGCCCATGCTCGACTGAACTTAAGGAACAAAGTACTTAAAGAAGATGTACTAATTGCAGCTTTATTGTTTGAAACATCTCTCACACTGAAATATGGTAATGTATTAAATTATTACTACAAATAATTTTATTTAAACTTAAATATTCTTAGTCTGTTAAATTAGAATGTTAGATATATTTAAAATATTATTTTAAAGAATAATAAATCTCTATCAGGTAAGGCCTGTTTGAATTTGAGCATTATTGTTTATAGGTAGTATCATCATCTGATACTAAGTTCTCCTTATCATGCAGAACTGTTTCCATATTTGAACTTTTGCATTGCTTAAAGAATTTTGGGAGAAAAAGTACTTAATACAACCCATGAAATGATTTTAATTTACTTTCTTTTTAAATTAACATGCGCCAGTGGCTAACGCCTGTATTCACAGCACTTTGTGAGGCCGAGGTGAGAGGACTGAGCTCAGGAGTTCGAAACCAGCCTGGACAACACAGTGAGACTTCGTCTCTATAATAAATCAAAATATTAGCCAGGTATGGTGGCACAAGCCTATAGTCCCAGCTACTTAGAAGGCTGAAGCAGAAGGATCACCTGAGCTCAGGAGGTCAAGGATGCTGTAGCATGAAAATGCCACTGCACTTCAGCCTGGGGGACAGAGAGAGATTCCAACTCAATAAATAAATTAATTAATATGCAACATATATTAGACAATCCCTGTGGAGTTAGGCACATAGAAATGTAATCATCTTGTATTACCACCTTTGCTGTATTGCTAGTTTTAATACTATGACTATGGCATTTAATTATTTGAAACGAATGGTACTTTTTATGCTTTTGCTTAATAAAAACACATAAGGGTTTAAAAAAAGATTTTTAAGCCGGGCTCAGTGGCTCAGCCTGTAATCCCGTGCTTTTGGGAGACTGAAGTGAGTGGACTGCCAGAGCCCGCGGGTTCGAGACTCGCCTGGGCAACTTGGCGAGACCTCATCTCTACATTAAATCAAAATGAACCGGGTGTGGTAGCGCACGCCTGTAGTTCCAGCTACGCGGAAGGCTGAGGCAGAAGGATCGCCGGAGCCCGGTGGGTCGAGGCTGTGGTGGCTGACTGCACTCCAGTCTGGGTGACAGAGTGAGACTCCAACTCAAAAAAAAAAAAATAAATAATAAATAATTCAAAGAAAATTAAAAAAAAAAATAAAGACAAGATCTCTGTTCCCTAGGCTGTTCACGAAAAATGGCTCTTTTTTTTTGAGTTGGAGTCTCACTCTGTCGCCCAGACTGGAGTGCAGTGGCCACTCCTGGC